GTTACTTTGGACTTTAGGTATTTTTTAAGGAATTTTATTAAGCGGTGAAAATCGATTTTTGATGAGATTTGAGAGAATAACTAATTATGTGGACTAAATTTGTCTCAATATTAAGCAAAATTTGAGTGGAAGTTATCATGATTTAGCTATGAAAATCAAATCGAAAGTACTCATTGCAAGTTACAATAATTGGCATCTTGGTATTTATTTTGAAACAAGAGAAATTTTTTTTGTGACGGCATGATCCTTCTTTACAAGCGAAGCAAAACCATGTATGCTTCAGGATGGCAATATTGCATTCTTGGTGAGGCACACGTTCAAAAGCTAAAACATGCTGTGTCCCCGAAATTTAGAAAAGTAAATCTCGAACTTAGCCACTAACCTCTAGGTTTCAAATCACCTTATGTATGTGCCTGAAAAAAAATAACATCCCAGATTTAACAAATATCTCCAATTTATGAAGGATGACAATTAATCATCGAACTATTCAAAATCCAAAATTTGTTTTGAAATACATTTGGTATTCCTAGATGATTCCTAAAATTTAAATAAAAAAATAAAAAAATAGCTATTTACCCGAGTGATTAAGTAGATAATATGTTGCCGAGGGAGCATAGCACATGATCCACTCAAAAAAGTGCATAAATAAATATTGAGGGTTTGCCATCTAGCAAAATTTCTAAAATGATCCGTAGTTTCTCTATTAAAGAAGGCTTTTAAATAAGGAAAATGATTTGACAGGGCCGTATCAAAATAAGTCAAGCCTCACTTTATAACTCAAAAACTGCCCTTCAAATATTGAAAAACCTTTAAAAGAATATTACGGTTGTGAAAAAAAATTAAGATTTCAAATTCTAAAAATATTATATATTGCAATAAATTATCTATACTATCTATTTCACCATAAAAATAAGTTTAACATATCCACAAGATCTGTACCATTTTTTGAGTTTCAAATTTTATTGTCGGTGTTGAAAATTGATTTTAGAGCTATTATGAAGATTTTAGAGCTATTATAGAGATTTTCGATGCCCAAAATACTATCTAAATGAGGCTTTATTTTGTTTTCATAAAGCCTAGACCTACTGGTGCTTTGAAGTAGACAAGTGCACAGATGTAAGCATATAGTCTCAAGAGTAAATGGTTGAGTGTGAGAGAGAGTGTGTATGAGTGAATTTATTTAGATTTGTTACACAACATCCAAGTTTCAAATCCTGACCTACCCAAAAGAGAAAAAAGAAAACTCTATTTAAAAAAAGGCAATAATGTTTGCCACTTTGATCTTGTGCTAAATAAATGGTGATTCTTCATAAAGATTAAGCACTAGGGTCCTTTCAAGAGAGAGTGAGAAGTTAGTTTTTTTTCACAAAAAAGGAAAATTGGGGTTTCCCCATGTATATATGAGGAAGGAATTTAGGTCACTCTCTCGATCCATGGAGAATACGGTCCCGAGATTCTTAAATCCAGATTTCACCTTTCTTTATTAGATAATTCAATTTATATGAGTATAGTAATAATGTAGTTGTCAACTCTTTTGAAATGCAACCATTCTTTTGTTATTGTATTGGATACACTCTCATTAATTTAGTGCAGATTGCATGTTTTTTCCCTCTCCCCTCAATTTTACTGTAGATGACTTGTTTTTCACATTACTCTTTAGTCACCTTGAAGTTCACCTTAAAAAGTATGATGGGATAAGTAGCTTTCTTGCTTAAGTATTTAATTGGCTATGTGGTTGAGGATTCAAATGCAATATACATAAAGAGTACTCATGAAACAATATATGGGATGGACGACTCATATTGAAACAGATTCAGATGGCTATCATGTGAATATATTTTAGCTTTTTTTAAAAAAAATTATTTTTATATTTTTTTGCTATGTCTAGGTCATGATCATATCCATCCAAGATTTAGGATCTATAATATTCAAAAAAAGGAAATGAATTGAATACCATACTTGCCCTTCAAATGGATCATCCAACTTACAGTATTCCGTATTTCGTAGAAATCAATTTTTATTTTTATTTTTTTGGTTTTATGTTGTATCTATTAAAAAACAACAAGCCAAACTCCTAATCTCTCTCTCTCATACTTGTTACATTTTTCGTAAATTTTTTAGGCAGTACTAGAATTAATTATTAAGTTGTGACGTTTTCAAGTCTCTCTCTTTGTAATGTTGGTTTGAGCAAGTTTTCAAAACCTAGATTGGTGGGGTTGCTGAATTCTATAGGTCCATGTTGGGCTGCTGAATTTAATCGGTCCGAAACGGTAATTCAAAAAATGTTAAAAAATAAAAATAAAATAGATTAAAGAAGGGGTTGATGGGGTTGAGGATTTGGGATATACATTAGAAAGTTTCAATCAGTGGTCCCTAGATTAGATTGGCCATTCCCGATTTGGATCGGAAACCCGTTGCTTTCCTTTTTGGAGGCATCACGTGCCTTGCACAACATCCAACTGGACGAAAAAGCCAAACCCCTTAAAACCCAAGAAGGGAAAAGTTTATATAGAGCCGAGGCTCTAAACAATCAAATTTAAGCCTACCCTAAAAATTTCACTAGAATAGTTTGTTTTGATGTCCAAATATCTTTGAATTGACCATCTCGATATCAAGATGAATGGACATGAGAAAAAATGGATTTCAAGTTTTGAAAATAATGTATTTTGTAACACAATTTTGGACCGTCAATTTTTAATATTTTCAAGTTTCATAGAACTGTCAATTTACATTATTTTTTAAGCTTTAAACTTTATAAATAAATATAAAAATATATCTTAAAGCTATCACAAATAGTTTCAATATTAAAACCACATTTCTCGATACTATTTGAAGGTAGGCTCTAATTTGATTATTTAAAGCCTATGCTCTGTACAAACCGCACCCTTAAAAGAAAGTATTGGCATAAAGCACAATAAAGGGCAGGAAAAGGAAAATCGACCATGCATGCAACAAATTCGAAATTTTAGTAAATTCAGCAAAATTTCGGGCCATGGTTTTTTGTAAATAAAATTAATATAATAATAAATTGGCGCAAATAAACCCAGATACTTTTTTTCTTTTATAATAAATTTGTGAGTAGATAAAATTAATTTAATATTAAAAATTGAGTAATAATACTATGAAACCCTCCCACACCCATTTGAGTAGGACCCTAAAGGATCACTATTAATTTTTGACACGGATCTTTAAAAAAGTTATCAATGAACCTATTCACCCAAATCCCACACCCATGTCATAACTTTTCTAAAGATCTGTGTCAAAATTTAATGGTGATCCTTTGGAGTCCTACTCACATGGGTGTGTGAAAGTCTCATAGTGTTATTACTCTTAGAAATGAATTTATCCATGTAGATAAACAAAGTTTTAAGGAAAATTTCCTATACCCTTAAGTAGTATATTGTCATTGATATTTTATATGTTTTTTTTTTCTTTGCCTATTTTTCTTGTCTTTCCATATGCTGCCGGTTTAAAGCCTGCAGTTTTGAAGCTGTGTATTTATTGTTGACTCTTTCGAACTTCCATTATCGATTTTATTGTTTGTTTTTTGGGGGTAGTTTTTTTTTTTTTGGGTAGATCGATGGGGAATACGTGTCCCTACTCATTTTTAGAAATAATTAATGGCTTTCGACTAAGTAAGTGGGAATAGAAACTTGGACCGGTAGATCATTGCAAAATGTCAGTTGCTAACCACTCGAATTTACATATAATTTCAAGTTTTGAACACTTAACACCATTTGGAACTAGTAGTTTCAAACGAGTGATAAAAACATTGGTTGGGACTTTCGAATTGGTGTTTGGTATACAAAAACTTATGTTCAGTTATCGCAATTTTGAACAACGGTTCAGATCTGAACTAAGGGCATTATGGAGAAAAGAAAAAAAAACAAAAAAAAAGTATGAAGATAAAATACAAAATATTGAGGGACTTGTTTTAATATGCAAATTATAAGGGTTATAGGAATTTATAGATTTTGGTATTTTCCTTTATTTACTAAAATGGTTTTAATGCACAAATTAGATGAAAATAATTCAAGAGAAAGTATATAACAAGATCATTTGTGTTTAGTACAAGGAGATAATAATCTGTTTTAGTTGTTAGATTCTAAATGGGGTGATTGGAAGTAATTACTGACCAGACTCAAAATTCAAAAAGTACGTGAATTAGTGGCTTAGAGTTGTTATGACTTCCTTGTGTTAAAAATGGTGGATACCACCGCATAGTTTGATAAGAGAAATTACTAGATGGTTGTGATTTATACAAGGCACCCTCCTTATATAGTCAAAATAACCCGAACCTTTAAAATTTGCACAAATATGTAGTTCTAGTGGTAGAAATGTTACCATGACCTCAAAATATTTTTTATCTTTTCTATAAAATTTAAAATTTAAAAAATGATAGGGATCAAACATATTCATAAACACTTAAAAATCTTAAAAATAAACAGTCATAATAACTTATTACAAGATACAAATAGGTCTTGAAATTCATTTTTTCATCGTATTGATACATCTCGAGGCCAAGATGATTAATTATAAGATATCCAATAGTAGGACACCCACTTCGAGAGGATTCCACATTGTATAAAATCAGCACCTTATAAATTTTTTCGATAATAAATTCCTAATGAAGCTAATTAATTTATTTAATTAATAAGAAGAATCTCTATGTTTATGAAGAACCCAAAACTATTATTAATTGTTTTTAATTAGCAAGAGTTTAAGGTACAAAACTCTTAGAAAAAAAAAGGTTAGGCCCTGTGGATAAGCCAGTCCCCACACCCCGTCCCCAACGACACGTGTCGGTGAGACCACTAACGGTATCCCCGGCGGTGTCCGTACGGACACTCAAGCAGGACGTTAGGACAACAGGCGCGTGTCAGTTTCGGAGCTCGACACAGCCCGCTGGTAGTTCCGAACCGGCGACGGACACGTGTCGTCATCGGTATTCCCCATCTCTAAACAAAAACCCTAACCAGGCACCAAGCCCCCTCTCTCTCTCTCTCTCTTCTTTCTCTCTCTACTTTCTCCTTTTAATAAGCAGAGCGCCTCCTTGCCACAAGCCTTTCGCTTTTCGCGACGAAGGCTGCCTCCATCCCCTTTCTCTCTCTATAAACCCCCCCTTGCTCTCTCAAAACCCGCCTTTCTTCTCTGTAAAATTTCACTGTAAATACTTTCTTCTTGTCTCTCTCTCTAGTTTTTGGTGTTCTGGGTATTTTCCGGGAGGATCTGGATCCGATTTTCGGTGTTTCCGGTCAGTGATGATCGGTTAGAGAGAGAAAAGTACACAATAATGTGTTTGGATTCGGAGGATAAGGGCTCCCGGAATCAGGTACTCCCACAGCAATGGCGGATAATACCCTTCCTTAAAACCCTTTTTTTCATTGTATACTGAGTTTTGTTGCTGCAGTCTCTGAAACTACGGGGATGATTTTGCACATAGATCTTAGTTTCTCTCTCTTCCTCTCTCGTCGTCCTCCATTTCCTCTGTAATATATATGAATCTGGTGTACAGGATATCTTTCTCTCTCTAGAACTTTTCTGCTTTATCTCTCTAGAACTGTTCTTCTGCGGAGAAAACCCTTTGTGGGTTTTGGGTTTTCCTTTGTTTTCTTCACAGATTTGTTCTATATAATATGTACCGTATATATATCTAAGAACTAACCAACTTGATCCTCAATCCATTAGTCTTTAAATCTAGAGAATAGCTGGATTTGTTCATTTCATGATAAAAAGAAGGAAGAAGTAGCATTTTCTGTGTTTTCATTTTAACAAATTTGCAGAGAATTGGGTGCTCCAAAAACCTGTTATTATAAAATAAAAAATAAAAAAATTCACCCATTCTCTCTCTACTGGAAATTGGGCACTCCAAAAACCCATTTTTGTTAAATAATAATAATAATAATAATAAACGGGTTTCCATTCTTACTCTGCTAAAAATTGGAGCTCCAGACCTGTTCTTATTAAAATCAGCGACCCTTTCTCTCTCCACCAAAAGCTGGGGCTCCAAAAACCTGTTCTTGTGGGAAAAGAAAGGAAAAAAAGACATCCTTTGTTTCTCTAAATTGGGTGCTACAAAATAGAAAACTGTATTCTCCCCTGTGTTCCTGTGAAATTACGGCTTTCGTGGGGTTGCTCTTCCTGGTCAGTTTGTACATTGTCCGGTGTGTTTTTGGCTGAAATTCCCAAGGGCTTTCAAGGTGGCTAAGATGAGCCTTCGCACTGCCGAAGAGGAATCGGCAACTGAGATCCACCTCCCTGCTGATGTCGACTGGCAAATGCTCGACAAATCCAGATTCTTCTTCCTCGGTGCTGCCCTCTTCTCTGGCGTATCTGCTGCCCTCTACCCCATTGTTGTCCTAAAGACCCGCCAGCAGGTTTCCCAAACTCAAATTCCCTCATTAAAACTCGGCCTCTCCATCGTTCGCCACGAGGGCTTCCGAGGCCTATACAGAGGCTTTGGAACTTCATTGATGGGCACAATCCCCGCAAGGGCTTTGTATATGACCGCCCTAGAGGTGACTAAGACCAGCGTTGGAACTGCTACGGTGAGATTAGGGTTTCCTGACCCGGCAGCAGCTGCAGCCGCCAGTGCAGTTGCCGGGCTGAGTGCAGCAGTCGCAGCGCAGCTTGTTTGGACTCCTGTCGACGTTGTGAGCCAACGTCTTATGGTTCAGGGAGGCAATGCAGCTGGGCCTTGTGCCTTGAGTACAAAGTATAGCGGTGGTGTGGATGCGATAAGAACCATAATCAGAAGTGATGGGCTTCGGGGCTTATACCGAGGATTTGGGGTCTCAATTTTGACATATGCTCCGTCGAATGCGATATGGTGGGCTTCGTATTCTGTCGTGCAACGGATGGTGTGGGGCGGTATAGGTTTCTGTCACTCATGGCACCGAAACAATGGAGAGGAGGGCAAATGCAGCGGAGGGGATGGGTATTGTGTGAGACCAGGCCCAAAGGCCGTGGCAGCAGTGCAGGGTCTGAGCGCGGCAATGGCTGGGGGTGTTTCAGCGCTGGTGACGATGCCACTAGACACAATAAAGACGAGATTGCAGGTGTTGGATGGGGAGGAGAATGGGAGGAGGCCCGGGGTTTTGCAGACTCTTCGGGGATTACTGAGAGAAGGGGGCTTCACAGCATGTTACAGGGGGTTAGGGCCAAGGTCGGCATCGATGTCGATGTCGGCGACGACCATGATCACGACTTATGAGATTTTGAAGAGACTTTCGGCCAAGCCCCAGGAGAGCTTGGGGTGAGAGAGAGAGGGTTGGGGGGTTGGGGGGTTGGGGCTTTTGTTCCCTCTGTCTGTGTATTTCAGGGTTTTGTACAAGTTTATATAATGTAAGAAAGAGGGCTTGCTTCTCTATATACTGGATAACTGGAAGTGAGCTTTTTGTTTCCTCTGTGTACCCAAACATGTTTCCTCTCAACAAAGAGGGCTTGCTTCTCTAAATTTCACAGGCTTTTTCTTTCTCGTATATGAAAAATAGGCTTGTTAGGAGCACTCTGATTAAGGCTTAAACTGAAGTAAAAATACACAATGAGACATTGAGATTGTATAACTTCATTATAGCAATTTCATAATCACGTTTTGCTATTAAATATGAAATTGGTTCACTAAAAATATCAAATCCTTTTTGAAATTTTGGGAAGTAACCCTAATCGCTTACTTTCTATCCTACAGTTAGGAATCATTGTGACCTTTTTGTTCCAAAGCTAAATGTTCTTATCGATATAATCTGAAAATATAATCAATTACAGATTATTATTATTTTTGGCTCAGGAATCTCGCTATTAACGGCAAAATCCGGTCTAATTAGTTAGTCTCATTAAGTTTAATAACTGTGATTGTATTTTGGCTGTAAATAATGCTAACAATAATTTGATTGTGAACCTATTGATGCTTTTAGCATGAATTTAGGAAGTCGGGATATTTAATGAGGTCCTGTCTAGAAAAAAAACTCTTCCTAATTGCATAAAAAGGAATCTCCGCTCTCCTCAAATCAGTGTTAAAAAACGAGATCCATAGGGTGGATCGTTCACTCACTTATATGTGTCCGGCGATCCACATGAGGTCTAGATCGGTCTGAATTGGTGATTCAAGAAAATGGTTAAAAAGCAACGAAATAAAATAAAAACGAAAGTAGCAGGGATGTAGAGGGGACTTAAAAGAAAATGTTAAATAAACTTAAAAAGAGGGTAAACAATTATATAAGGGGGTTTTTGGTCGTAACCGAACCGACGATCCAGATCAGAAATTACCGGGTTTTAGAACACTGCCTCAAATCAAAGAAAGTAGAAAGATAGCTTTTTCAAGAACAAACACGAAGGCATGGAAAGGGCAATCATGTGTGACTCTAAAGCACACACAGGCTAGTTGGGCTTGATGAAACACAGCAGAAGGCCTCCCATCTTCATGAAGATCTGGTTGCGGAGAGCCATTAAGGACTCTTTAAGGATGCTGCCACTGATGGGCTCGTGCTACCTCGTGCTCAATCCTTGTTGGAAGTTGGTGGGTGAACTGAGGCACAAAATCTAGATTTTACAATTGAAGAGTTTTAAAACAGTTCAAAAATTTTTTTTGTTTTCAAGCGCGAAAACTTTGCTATGAAAACATAATATTTGGCCCTGATCAGATTTAGCATCTATCTAAACTCTCTTTGTAAATTTGTCCTCATATACGGTGAAATGGAATATTGAACACTATCATGCATATAGAAATGCACATATACCACAAGATCTAGAGCACCAAAGTCCCTTTTAGTTAAGAAAGTTCACACAAGAAGATAGAAAATTCGTATAAGAAAGTGTCTAAAAACAGGGTATGGTTATGTACAAACCTGTATTTTCAAGAGAGAAGTTCAAGTCCTATTTAAGGAGAGAAAATGTCATTTTATCTACACTCAATGTGATTGTTTAATGCACTTGAATGATAAAGAGTTGTAACTCTTTGTTTCTTAAATTCAATAATAAAAAAACGACCAAGTTCGTTACAACTTTTGACAATGTGGTTAGTTAAAACTTACATGCAACTGGATGAGCAATGATCCAATGCAACGGTTGTATCATAGTATAATGCAACGACACTTCTAGAAAACCGTATTTGTGGTATTTGTGTGACTCCAAATTTTGCACATACACTCTTTTCATCTCAATAATCAATCCTCAAAAAAAAAAATTCAATTTGAACCTTAGATATGGTCAAAATTAGTCACCTCCAAAAACGAATCTAGACCATTCATTTTGTGAATTTCAAGATCTTAGCCTTTATGAACTCAAAATCATGTTTTTATT